ATCTTCTTTTGGAGAACAATCCGTGCTCCCCTTTTCTGAAGCCTAAGAAGTCTTTGAAGAGAGGTGCTATCAGCATTGGACCAGACAATATCACAATATTCCATTAAAGGCTGAACTAAAGTCATATATAAAAGCTTACAGGTATCAGTATCTAAATATTTGCGACTTCTTCCCAATAAATTTAATCTACGAGTTACTTTATTAGAAATGCTATTTATGTGTTCATACCAGTTCATAGAAGCATCAAAAATTAAACCCAAGTATTTCACAGTGTTTGACAGCTCCAGAAGATTGCCCATTAAAAATTAGGAGAGTTATTGTGATCTTGCGAGATGCTGTTTAGAGCCAAAGAGCATTACATTGGTTTTGTCGTAGTTCACTAACAAGCGATTCAAAGAAAACCATTCGCCAACGGCACTCAGGTCTTCTTGTAGAGTGGATTGAATAGTTTGAATGTTTCTACCGGCAAAAAATATAGCAGTATCATCAGCATACAAGGCTATTTTACAACGATGTACAGTACTAGGTAGGTCATTTATAAATACGATAAATAATGATGGGCCCAGGACAGACCCTTGAGGTACTCCAAGTGACAGATCTGAGGTATCTGAATAAGTACCATTCACACTAACAGACTGTGATCTGCAAGATAGGTAATTATCAAACCAGGCAAGTGCTTGTCCTCTGACACCGACTGCAATAAGTTTAATCTTAAGGAGAGGGTGGTCAATCATATCGAAAGCTTTGCTGAGATCTACAAATATTGCTCCAGTAAGATTTCCTTCATCCATATTTTTCAAAATATATTCTGAAACATCAAGCAGGGCTGTACTGGTTGAACGACCACGTCTGAATCCTGATTGGAATTGAGATAAAAGCTCATTCTTAACCAGATGATCGTAGAGCTGTTTATGGGTTGCACGTTCCAAAATCTTCATAACAAGTGGAAGGACAGAGATCGGTCTAAAATTATTTGGATCACAATTTGATTCAAATAATGATCTTGTGAAGCGGAGTGACAGTAGCTGCTTTCCATGACCTTGGTATTTCACCACAATGGATTGATAAATTAAAGATGTGGGTAAGTAGAGTGGCTAGAACGTTGGAGCCGACTTTAAGTATGTGCGAGTGAATGTCCTTGAGGCCAGGAGATTTATTGACACACAGCGATGACAATTCTTTGTGAAAAAAGCTAACTGGTATGTCTTTAAATACAAAGTCTGGGATAACTCGAGGTGTCAAAATCAGAGGATCACGGAGGGTGCTTACATTCAATGTGGGAAGAAGGCTTCTAAGTCGAACACCTGCCTCGGACCACTTTAGCATCCTTGCTAGACCTGTGACACCCTGTCTGAACTCTCGTATTAATAGAAAACTGCGGTTCAGAGATATGAGAGAAACTGCTTGGCGACCCTTTGGTAGATGGATGTTAGAGAAGGACTGGACCCATGTTCTTGAAGCGGCCTCGTGTAAGGAAAAGTTCCAGCTTATTTCTTCGGAGTTAAAAGGGGCTATTGAGATTTTATTGCCATAGACAACTGTTAAAATCAATACTTCAGATAGACCCTGGATAACAAAGAGGTTAAATTCAACCATTAAAAAGCGGCAAGAGGCTTTTATTAAGCATGGCAAGGACTCCAGCACCTATAAGATGTGGAGGAATACTGTCCAGAAAGAAATTAAGTCTGCTAAGCGTCATTACTATAGGAAGAA